AATTAGCTCATTAATTAATAACATGTTAATCACTTTCTTTTTCTTTAAAACTGAACATAATACAAAATATTTTTTTAGTTTTGATATTTTTATACTTATCAATAACAATCTTTTTTTATAACAAAATAATCAATTTTTGATTAAATTGCATTAGTAATAAAGTTTTGGGATTTCTATTTTTTTACAGCAACATTAGTTGTTATTCTCTTAATTAAATTAATGATAAAAATAAAATTCACTATTAATTAATACATTTTCTTAATTTTTTATTTAAAAGTTTTAATTTTTTAATCCAATTACTATTATCATATCAATAATAAAAATAGTATTTTATATTAATTCCTTGTTTTTTTTTCAATTTCAAAATTATTCAAATATTAAAAGTAATTCTTGGTTGATGTTCATTTTATTAACTTTAAGTTTAATTAAAGATTTCTATAAATCTTATTTAAGAGTCAAATATTAAATTAAATCGTTTAAATCCTAAAATATTCAAGTCAGGCAACAGTTATCTTTAATACTAATTATAATCTATTGTTAACAAAATATGATTTGTTAATGAAAACATTAGTATTATTATCAACACACTCATTAGAGATGTTATTACTCTTTATATCTTTAAAAAATTATCATTATTCTCAGTAGAAAAACATAAATTAATCACAACACAGTGAATATCATTTATAATGAGTTTTTTATTAAAAGACGTAAACTATGTATCATTAAGGTTATAATTATACAATCACTTGTTTTAATTATTTTTCATTTAAATAAAAGTATATTTTCAGATTTTAGTTTAAAACGTAGAATATCTGAAGATAACAATTTCTAGTAAAAAACATATAATTAATGATACTATTCTCATTAAACAATTAAAATATTTTAAACAATTAGAAATTTTGTAATTTACAGAAATATCTATCATTAAATTAGAGATAATAATTTTTTTAATAATTTTTAATCAAATAATTTTTAAAGAAAATTTAATAAAGATGACCAAGTTTAATTTTG